CGGAGGAATTAATCGAAGATGCCTCCAATTTGGACTTCAACGCAGTATATTCCTGGCCAAGGGCATCCCGTTCCGAGGCGGCTAAATTCAGTTGTGTCCGCAATTCGTCATTTGCTGAGACCACTTGCTGGCCTTGTCCTTTTCCACCCGGCGCTAGTCCATGACCGATGCCAGCTCCTCTTTTGTAGCCTCCTTTTCCGAAACCAACAGGTCCATCCTGTCCCTCAGCGCCTCGGCCGTGGTCTTGACCTCATCCATCTCGGCCTGAAGCTAGTCAATCAAGTCTATCTTCTCTTGGACCTGCGAAGTTGCGTTGTTAGTCATCACGAGTAGTATCTCGTTTTTATCCTCAAAGATCCTTACCTTCTCGATCAGATCGGCGTGCTCCCATTTTACGGACGTGGCCTCCTTTTGTGCCTTTTCGAGTTCGGCTCAGAGAATTGGGATGTCCTTGAGAGCCTCATCTTGTTGTTCATTGAGAGCCCTATACATGTCATTCTTCTGGATCTACTCCTTGAGCTCGAACTCGAGCTGGCTGATTTCCATTCAGGACCGAAGGAAGCTCTCATGGTGGAGCACCGAAGCTTGAAAAACAAAACAATAAGGTCATTAGAATATGCTAAAATTAAGCAATATTCACAAAGGATACAGGGAGTAGACATCTTACCCAGTTCAGTGCCTGTTGCGCCTCATTGAAGAGGATCGATATGCCTACTTCGTTTATCTTTACCCGGTCCTCCTCGGTCACCAGGCAATGAAGATAAATGGCCACACCCACCGAAGCTGACAACACTCGGGCATCCACTGGGATAGTAAGAACAACCGTTCTTTTACGGTCGTGGTCTACACTTGGGGCAGGAAACTGCCTCACTAGCTTCGGGCTCGAGCTTGGCTCGCCCGCTCTAGATGGCACGTCCTTTTTTGGGACCTCCAGCTGACCAAGCCCGAAGTAGTCCTCCAACGCGCTCATGTCCATGCCGTCGAAGAACATGTTAAGGGCATCATCTGTGCCCCATGCCATCTCATTTGATTTTTTTTGATCGGCTTGAGACTCTTCAAAGATAGACTCTGAGTGGGACGGCGTCTTCGTAATGTCAATGACACCGGCTACTTCCGTCGGGGCAGGAGCGGCTTCTTAGGAGGCCATGGCCAAATTCTCCTTCTAGCTCCCGATCTAGAGGGGGATCGACCTCTCGGCCACCTTCTCCGGTTGCCGCCTGCTCTCCTTCGTCGATGGTCGACCCATGAGCGACGAACTCCAGATCATCATCTTCCGGGTAATCCCTGAGCCAGAAGAGGGAATCGGGGTCCGGTACCCTGGCTTTGGTGCTCTTTTTATTGCTTTTCCAGACTCGGACAACTATACTCTTCTTTTTTACCTTGGCATTAAGAGAGCCAGAGGATTTCCACTTTTTCTTCTTTTTCTCCTCCTTTGCGGCAACTCCGGGTTGTCCCAAAGCGGGGGGTTCAACAAGCGAGGATGGGGCCTCGTCCTCATCCAATAGCCGAAGTTTAATAGTCTTGGGCAAACCTGTGAGAGGAAAAAAGACTTAGCAAAAATAAAAGTTTAGTATATAAATGTAATTATTCAGGAGGAAGACTCACCATGGTAACGGGCCTCCCACTTGCCCTTCGAGAGCTTGCGCTATTCGTGCTCGAAGTAAGACATTTGTTTGCAAATCCCATCAATCCACTCCTTGAAGCGAGGGACTACATTGATAACTTGGGCGACTGCTGCACAACGGAAGATGCAAGTAATTAGAAAACGAATAAAAGGAAGTACCACGTACTCGAGAGGGAGAAGACTTACAGGATGAGTTCCACTTTTCAGGGAACGGTAGAAATTTGGGGGGAATGAGGTCTTCGGTTTTCACCCGAATGAACTTCCCCTGCCAACCTCGATCTCGATCTTCATCGATGCTCGAGAATGGAGCTTTACTTGCTCGACGAATGAGCTTGATCAAGCCCCCTCAGAAGATTCGGGGACTGTAGAGACAAAGCAGGTGGTCGTTGGAGAACGGAGGTGCTTCAGTGTTGTTTATGAAATGGTGGAGGAGGATTACGATCCTCCAAAAGGACGGGTGAATTTTTCCAAGGCAAACCTCGTAACTTTTGCAGAAGTCGAGGATTATAAGGTCCACCGAGCGAGCATGAAGGGGTAAGTGTAAACACTTAGATACTCCTCCATGTGAGTGGTGATGTCTTTGTTGGGCCGGGAACGACCACCTCCTTGCCCTACCAGTTGCAATCCACCCGAACTGTAGGGAGTGTGTCCTCAGTAACGGAGATTTGTACCTCTATACTCCCTCACCTTGGTCCTGTTGACTGGAGGCCTTCTTGACTTTGAAGTCGTTTTCAATGGAATAGCCCCCAGGAACGAAACTATTCAAAGGAGGCTCCGGGACTACTTCAAGAACGGTCACCTCGGCATCCGTGGCCGGGTTGGAAGTTGAAGGGGCGGTTTGTTGGGGCACGGATTTGGAAATTTTTGCCATCGAATTCTGGAAAATATGAAGGTTTAAAGATGAGGATGAAGATTTGAAGATGTGGATAAAGGTATGAAGGTCTGATTTGAAGATTTGAAGATATGAAGATCTAGAAAGCAATGTACGAAGATCTGACGGGATTAGAGTTAAGTGAAGAATTCGAGGGTAAATCAAAGAGCTTTAGAATCGAAAATTTTAAAAGTGAAAAAGGGGTCAGAGCTTTTATAGAGGAAGTTTAATCAATGCGTGACGTTTCGCATTCGAGAACAGTCAACCAGCGGTCGACCCATGTTCGAAGTTAGAACGACACGACTGATGGGACGTTTTGATGACCCGTCAGCTCGGTTGGAGGAACCGGGGTTAATTCATCGCTTCCCGTCGCTTCGATAAATCTTATTTCCTGAAAACGAGGGGATTATCTATGTACGGGGGTAAAAATTTTCTCCGATTTCCCGATGAGAGAACAAAGGGAAGCACGACTCGACGTAATTATAATCGAGGCGAGGAACCCCTCGTATCGAGAACCAGGAAGAATGAACGATGTATATGAGATTGGAACGACAAAGCGACGTACCCCGGACCAAGTATTCTGGATTCGGGAGACGCGGTGAACGGTTAAGCATAACGGATAGGGGGTCATAATATTCATCTTCAACCGAATTTTAGGCGTGAATCCTGTTCGGTATCAATTGTAGATTAACAATTATTGGGAAAAGAAGATTTTTACTTTTTTTAGAATTGTACTAGGACTGAAATTCTCCTAATATATAAAGGGAATGTTTTTCTTTAGTCTAACACATTATAACACGCATTTCAAAGCAATAAAAGTTTACTTTTGTCTTCTAGCTATTGTTCAAGGTAGTACTCATTTATTCTTTTCTTCACTCGCGATCGAGCTTGTACCGAGGATCAAATCGAGGACGAGTTGAACTATTCAATCTAAGATCAGGCTTGGTCATTACATTACACTTGGTTTGATCGTTTATTTTGTTTTCATTTCATTCATCTGTTGTTCTTAATTATTCGTATTGAATTAAACCACGTATCTTTTAAACCGCGTACAAATTTAATTGTTACTTATTTTTGGGGTAAACCTTGTTTTTTTACTTACTACCAAACCAAATCAAACCAAATCTAATCGGATTTTTTAATCGATTTGGTTTGACCTTTTAGTTTGATACGATTTTCCGGTTCGGTTTGAATATCCAAGTAGCAAGTTAACCCTTCTCTACCGCTTCGCCTCTCGCCAAAAATTAAAATTGTTACCGTGTATAAGTATCTATGAAGAAATTCTACTAGCTAGCAATGAAGCAGTTTAACGCACTACCTGCAGCTTTCGATGTACCAGAATAACAGCTGGTATTATAACAAGAAGAAAGCAGAAAATTAATTAGGGGGAAAGAGGAACCCCCCCCCCCCCCCCCCCCCCCCTCCCCCCACAATAAAAAAAGAAGAGAAAGGATATCGATAACGATTTATTTTGTGTACATTTTTATTTGGCTACTTAATATGAATGTCGTGTCCTTACGTACGTAATAAGAATGTACACAACATAAAATCTTTTTTTAGTTATAAAAGAGCTCGATCTAGCTGATCCATATATACGAGAAGATAGAACATCTCAGATTACAGATGTTATCCAACTCATTAATTATGTGCAGTTAGAATTATGGTTGTTTTGATTTTACCAATGAATATACACCAAAGAAACATCCTGGAGTAACATATATAGACTTCGTCGTGTCATATTGGTAAGAGCAAAATCTTATCAATATTAGCTTGATGGTCAGTTTCTACTAGAATTCTCCCCAATACTATCATAGTAATTAATTTCTTCTGAGGTCGTAATGGAAATTAATATGGCTTGCTTTTGGAACACAGAATAAGAATTGAAGGGAAAGAAAGAAGGGGAAAAGAAGGACGATAATTAACTAGTTTATGGAACAAATATAGAATATGGACAGGAACATGAACAATAATGACATTGGAATGGCTTGAGTAGTGGAACATAGAAAAAGGAAGGTAGATATCAGCACGAGGAAGCAGCTAGCCAGAGAGAGTTGCTCATTCCTGTTGTGAAGAAATTATCTATATATATATATATACACACACACCGAAAGACAACCCTCTTATACGTACATATAATATATACTCCATAATATATATGTTATACACAGAAGTCTACTAGTTTTCTGACTTAATTATACATGGATTATAAATAGGCAACCCCAGTTTCAATCATAAGATCGTGCAGAATCCCTAAAAACACAATATTGAAAAAAAAACAAACACGACGTTGAAATTAAACATAAAAAAATAAGATGCAAGACCCCCACTAAAAAGAATTTTTTTTTTATTAGCTCCCTCCAAGAGCTCGAACTCATAACCTATTGGTTGGAAGTGGAGGATGCTCACCACTAGAACAACCCACTCCCGTCAAATAAAAAAATAAATAAAAAAGAAATCAAAGTTGCTATATCCAAGAAATTAACTAGAGTTGCTATTGTTCCTAAATTCAAGTATAGAAGATCAAAGTTTAATTTAATCCAGAATAACCAGTAGAAGCTGTCAAAACTTTTAGGGTTTTAAAAACTCCAATTTAGGGCTCACACTCACATCCCGAAGCTAATTCAATGATATATCCAAGAAAGCATAGAGAAACAACTTAATCAGAATATTTTATGTAGAACGTATATATATTTTACATCCTTACTTCATACTATATGAAGTCAATTAATCCTCGTAGTATTGGAACTGTTACCATATCTGCAAAAGCAAATCAAAGCAGCCCTCTTATTATCAAAGAAAGAAATTTAACCATTTTTTATTTTCCTCTTGAGAATTAGGCATCAAGAAGAATTAATGCAACTGAAAGGTTGCAGCAGCTGTCTCGTTGTTGTTACTAGAATTAATTTGGATTTTCCTCTTCTTTTTCTTCTTCTTCTTATAGGAAATTCCCCTTGCTTTAGCTTGAGAATCTCTTACCTCACGTAGATAAATTCGTATAGCACTATTTGCAAATGGATTTGTCTCTTGCAATCCACCGTTTTCCTCATAAGCAGCTCTAAGCCTTCCAATTAGTGCATCTAAACTTCCCCATGCTTGTCTAAGAGGACAAGTACATGACTCTGTTTGCTCGGATTCTCCAAAAAAGATACAACCATGTAAATGTACCTTAGTTTTTCCGAATTGATCCAAGTAGCGGAGAAAATGTAACACATGGTTGTAGTTGCAATTGGATAAAGGAACTGGGGGTTTATGGTTTTTTAAGTATTGTCCGAAAGTGTTCCAATCACGACGTTTTTGAGACACATATCTGCTCAGTTGGGGTGGTTGATGATGGTTAGCAATAGTTGATGTTGTTCCTTCTCCTACTTCCCTTAATCTTTGCTCACTTGACATCGTACCACTATGATGAAAATTCTTTTTCTATTTTCCTTTGTTATAAAAGAAAATCAATATAAATTGGGTGCATAATTTCAGAGGGAGAGATTTGATTTGGGACTTGGGTTTTAATTAATTGCATTAGCTAAGAGAAGAAGTAAAATTACTATTGCAGTGGAGAAAGATGGAAAACAAATAATTATGTGGTAGCTGAGAAGACACGGCATGGGTCCCAGGCAAGTGCTTTAGCTCCTCTTTTTCTTCCATCACCACCTCATTGTTTTCTTCCTTTAATTGTACTATTATTAGCATTAATATGGCTTTTAATGATAATTTACATTTTTTAATTTGTTTAGTATCATACCAGCACTCATTATCAAGAATATTAGCAAAATAAGCACTTTAATTTGACCCTTAGCGACTAAGATTATTAGCTAGTGTGAACACAGTTAATTTAACTTTGTATGTAGTCAACAAGTGAAAAGAGTAATTCTAGAATCCCGTAAAAAGAACAGAGTTTTTTTAACCATTTGGTTCTCGGAATCCGCTGCTCCAACTAATGTAAATTCTCACCGCGTAAGATCCACTAATAGGAGAGGGATTCTTATTAAAAATTTCTCCCCACATACTCAAACTCGAGAAATCTCTAGTTAATAATAAATTCTTATTCATTCCACGCACCCCTTGGTGGTAAAATAGAGTTTCTATCATTGCTTTGGTGGATGAAGAAATTACTTGTATTTCTTCTAAATTTAGATCATAAACATGTATTCTATTGCTTTAGGGAAATTACTTGTTTGCCTTCCAACTTTAGATCATAAACAAGTACGTATTATATATGGAGATTAGAATTAGGGGTGGCAAACAGGTGGGTCGGGTCGGATGGGTGGGTCGAAAGCGGGTAATGCAAATAAATTATCCAACCCGACCCATATTTAATACAGATAAAAAACGGGTTAATCGGCGGATAATATAAATATTCATATTATCCATGACTTCTTGAATATGATTACTTTTGGGAGAATTTCTAGTCTCCCAAACTTGAGGAACCCTCAATTTGACGTTTTACAAATATAAAAGTTAAGCCCGTTATTTATTCATTAGTTATCTATTTTCTAAGTAGATAATATGATTCTTATCTATATTTGAGCCGTTTTAAAAAAGTTTATTATCCAACCCATTTTTAATAAATAATATGGGTGAATAATTATTTTTTAAAATCATTTTGCCACCGCTTACTAGAATACTCAATTCTAGATCATTAGTAGTATGAAGAGCCGAAGAAGGGTGAATTTGATAGTAGCGACTAAATATGTTTTACTTAATTAGTTGATGTATATTACTTACTGTGTAATCAATGGTACCTAGCTAATGCATACTGGCCGAGAAAGATATTGTTTGATAAATGTTTGGCTAGACACGAAATTTAAGTAAGAAAGAAAAAAAAATACTTTTAAAATTTATGATTTAAAATATATTATAGATATTTTTGTGGCTTTAAAATTATATGTTATTAATGAAAAATGAAATTTTTTAGAGTTTTAAATTATTAATATAAAAGAAATGCTATTCTTTTTTAATATACTAAAAAACGTATCACATAAAACGGGAAAAAGATAGCAATAGATAAGTGTAAACTATCTTTGTATTTCTCTCATCTCAAACTATATGATAATCTTCTAATTTGGAGATTTCAACATGTTTGCCATCATTTCAGTAATAATATTGCCTTAGCTAACTTCAAATTGTGAAAAAATTCAAATTTGTTTAACGCATATTTTAAGATACAAATTTTTCTATCGAAGCTAATTCGAAGTATTAGGAGTAACGTGTGGTTTTAGGAATACTAACTCCAATATTTGTCTTGACTTTATTAGAAGGTAATGACCGAGAATGTCGGAAAAAAAACCCTAGTAGGTAAACATGAATTAGAGCAGCTATGAAAATGCTTTTGAAAATGATACTGTATAGCCGTTCTCAAAATAATTGCCGAAATATATATATATTTGTATATATATACATTCTGTATGTTATATATAAAAATTATGCAAATTTTATATACTTTTTCGACTATCGAATATAATAATTTCTGGCACAGGTTAAAAATAATAACAACTCAAAATGTTTTCTTATTAGACAGATGAAAATCTTGTTGGACCTGGAAGATCATCATATTCTAATATTTTAGAAAGTGACAACCACGAAAGGTGTATTTTGAAAATAATGATGGCTGCTTCAATTATTTCAAAACGGGCTCCTATTATCTTTTGAGTTTGAGTTATATATATTGTTAGTATACAAAATTATTTGCCGTATCAGGTCAATCAAAAAAATATTTATAGGAAAGTCTCGTAAATATATAAAATTTATAATCTTGAAAATAAGATAGATTACTTGTTACATCAGATAAAAGTATCCTGATAGTATAAATATTTCTTAAATTGATAATATATACTCCATCCGTTTCAATTTTATGTGAACCCATTTGACTAGGCACGGATTTTAAGAAAAGAGAAAAGACTTTTAAACTTGTGGTGTAAAATAGGGGACGTATATTTTGTGTGACTATAAATTATTGCATAAAAGTAAATTATTGTCAAATAAAGAAATATGTCATTCTTTTTGGCACAGATTAACAAGAAAATATGTTCATATAAATTAAAACGGAGGTATAATTTAAAATTCTTTTGATTGGCTCCTGTAGATTTGCCTTCCAATATGGGTGAAGGGAGAAGCTAGCTACAAATCACCACAAAAGGGAGAAAAAGAAAAGATGAAATATTACTATTTTGACTGTTTCAGCATCAGCTGTCCTGAAAAGGTGGGGACAAATCATAATTTGGAATTTTATCTTGTTGACTCTCAAGATTTTGCTTATATATAATGTAAGAGATATGATTAAGTAACTGCTTAATCAATTTTTTTTACAAATTTTACAAGTTCTATAATGTCCAATCGCGAAGACTTATACAAGCAAGAATTTTCTCATATCGCCACGTGTATTAACACATCAAATATAATCCGATGTTTCTTATTATAGCTGTGACCCTAATAATGTTTCCTAATAACAAAAATATAATAGCCAAGACAGTGTCATTAACATCAGAACACTGTTGATAATGCTGAATGATAACAATTCCAACTGTCTACTGCTGTGCTTTCTTAGTGATGTTTTTGTTTTTGTTCGTCGGCTCTCCTTTTCATTTCCTTAATGTAAAGCTGAGGTGTTTTGAGGATTTGCGTCTCGTTCGGTGGTTTAATGTCTCAAGCATTTTCGTATTATGTATTATGACTTGTGTGTGTGGACAAGTTTGATTTTCGGATGATTCGGGATTGATTTGGAAGGATGATTCTTGTTTTAGAAGCTTAAGCGGTAAGAGTTGACCGGAGTTTAATTTTTGTGTAGACGACTCCAGAATGATATTTTGATGATTCCGATAGTTTCGTATGGTGATTTTGGACTTAGGCGCAAGTTCGGATGTGGATTTGGAGGTCCGTAAGTTAATTTGATGCATTTTGGCGGAAGTTGGAAAGTTGAAGGTTTGGAAGGTTGAGAGGTTTGACCGGGAGTTGACTTTGTTGATATCGGGTTCGGATGGAGATTCCGGGTTGGAATAGCTCCGTTGTGTTATTTGGGACTTGCATGCAAAATTTGACGTCATTTCGGGTTGATTTGATATGATTCGGCGCGACTTGTAGAAGTTAAAAATTCCTAATTCATTAAGCTTGAATTGAGGTGCGATTTATGGTTTTGATGTTATATTTCGGGATTTGAGGGCTCAAGTAGGTTAGTGTTATGTTTTGGGACTTGTTGGTATGATTTGACGGGGTCCCGAGGGGCTTAGGTGTATTTTGGATCATTGGTAGAGAGACTAGTTAAGTTAAGAAATTTGGAGTTTGACCATGGTCAATATCGGGTCAAGACGACCTCTTTTCAGTGTTTTGAGTGCGCGAGCAGGTCTGTAGCGTATTTTATGATTGAAATTCATATATGGTTTGTGTCCGAGAGGTTCCGGATGAGTTTCGGGGTGGTTTCAGATCATTTCGGTAAAGTTTGGGATTGCTGGTGCTCGTAGCCTGGTACTTCGCAATTGCGAACTTTTTGTTGCAATTGCAAACACTGCAATTGCGAAATTTTGGTCGTAATTGCGAACTCTGCAATTGCGAGCATTTGGTCGCAAATGCGAACATCCGCAATTGCGAACTTTTGATCGCAAATGCGACATTTGCAGCTGGATTAAGAGTTGGGATTTTGGGATTTTAGCTCATTATTTCATATTTCGAACCCAAGACTCGGCAGGAGACGATTTGAAAGGGGAATTTTCATCTACAATCATTGGGTAAATGATTTTGATCAATTTTTAATTATTTTACATGATTATAAATGAGATTTAACATTAAAGTTATGAGAATCAAAGGGGAATTTTAAGAAATTTTGTCTATATTTGGAAAAATAAAAATTTGGGATTTGAGAGTCGAATTGGACTTGGATACAAAACACATATATATGCTTGTGGGGTTATGAGTAGTCAGAATCTACCCTTGGGCCCGAGTTTTGACCGGACAAGCACGGGGGTTGACTTTTGTTGACTTTTTAGAAATTGTATAAAGATCATAGCTTTATTTATTGGAATTGATATCTCTTGCATTATTTGATGTTGTTAAGTCGATTTTGGTTAGATTTGAGCCGAGCAGAGGTGAATTATAAAGGAAAAGCTATTTTAGAGTATTGATTGAGGGCTTTTGAGGTAAGTGTCTTGCCTAAATTTGTGTGGGGGAACCACCCCTTAGGATTTGAGTCATTTGTGCTAATTGTGTTATGTGAAAGCTGTGTACGCGAGGTGACGAGTATGTACTCAGGCTTATATGTAGAAAATTGACCGGTTTAGACTTTTAGGCTTCTTTCATGTACTTATTTGGAATTGTTAGCATATGTTATATCTTTTATTCGTCATGTCTACTATCACATGCTTTATTTGAAGTTGTCGTTACATGTCACATTCCTTACTTATCGAGTTTTCTCTTATATGATTTATTTGAAGTTATTATCACTTTTATCATTATGTGATTTGTTTTATTGTGGGGCTACTCTTAGTTGAAATTGTTGTTACTTGATGTCCTTTAGTTGCCGGGTTATTCGTATGCATTTAGACGTAGTACTAGTTCGTTCCATCTCTTTCATTGTTAGCCTATTCATACACTAGAATTCGAAGTTTGCTATTTCATAGAAATATTTTCACTATTGATTTTATCCTTAAACAAT